CCAATTTTGGGCACTGCTGCCATCATGTCCCTTATAAAAAACAATGTTACTTATGATTGTCAAACTTACAAAAAAGAAACACAGGACTTAAAATGCAGCCTGGGTTGGAAAACAGTCTAATTTACTTCTTTTACTGCAACTTATATATTTTAGTGAAACATTCTTTTTTATCTTATTGGCATATTCAATGTGGAACTCAGAACTCCCATGGGCATAAAGCTGAACGGTAATCAAATTTTCTACATGTCCAAGTTATTTAAAGTCAATAATTAAAATTGCTCATAATTATTCTGTAATTTATTATGTAATGTTACATCAAAATTGACACTAATGTTCTCTGTGCACTGCTACTGCAATCGTTATGAAAAGAAAACTGTTACTTATTATTTTAAACTTACAAGAATAATTTTAGTCTTGAGATGCAGCTCAAATTAGAAAGCCAGCTGAATTGATTTATCATTTATTATTGCCTTAATGCAATTTCATAAATTTTCATTTTTCTCATTCTCATTTTCAAAGTGTGCAATTGAACTCTCATGGGTCTGAAGCCTTATGGTTGTTACACATTTTACTTACATCGGTAATAGCTGTTGAACTTGATTAAAATTTGATGTTGAATTTGCAGTTAAGCATAATGTACTTTTGCATCCGCAGCATATTTTATGCATTGTTATTTTCTGCTTTTTGTCTGTACATTTGACAGCTTTGCTGCCTTGTTGTACAAAAGTGTTTTTTCCTCAGGTTTAATTCTTAGTTATCAGTTTGGGCTGTTTGGGGTTGGGGGGTGTGCTAAGCAAAAATCTTGATATAAACAAAATTTCATGTATAAATTCTGATGCCTGTTCATTGTCTGTTGTGACATTGAATGTGTCTGCATGTATTCTGATCACTGTCTATGCCTTTTTTGTTGCTGTTTATGTTTATTATAATATAATAATATATTTTGATCACTGGGCTATGTTTGTGTTGTAACTATCCTATATGCCTATATATATTATTTTTATTGATGATTTATTATCTGTTTTCAGTAGAAATGAAGATGTGTGTCTTGGATTATCATCACACTTATGACAGTTGAATTCATCTGTTCACCATCTAGTTCTACAACCACACAGTATCAGCAAAGGTCAGTGCAACAACGATATTGCTACACTGGTGATTCTATTCAATCCCATTGTGACCATCGCCACTTTATGTTGTAACTGGGTAATTATCATTTGTAAATGGGTCATACAGATCCAAATCAGTTTTTGATATGTTCAAGGTGACAAGGGTTAATGTGAACTGTTGAGATTTGGGTGGGGGTGGGAGGGAGATGTGCGCTTAGCAAAAATCTTGATATAGACCAAATTTTATGTATACATTCTGATGCCTGAGCATTGTGTGTTGTGACATTGAATGAGTCTGTATGTATTCTGATCAGCTAAACTTATCTCAACCTAACATAGCGCAGGTCAATGAAACAATGATAATTGCTACACTGGTGATAATCTCTTCAATCCCATTGTGAACATTGCCGATAATGTTTTACCAGAGAAATTATCATTTTGGAAAAAGGTGAATAAGATCCCATTCAGTTTTATATATATTCAAGGTGACAAGGGTTAATGTAAACTGTTGGGGGGTGGAGGTGCGCTCAGCAAAAATCTTGATATAAACAAAATTTCATGTATAAAATCTGATGCCTGTTCATTGTCTGTTGTGACATTGAATGTGTCTGTATGTATATTCGGATCACTGCCTGTGTCTGTATTGGTGCTGTATATGTTTATTATAATATAATAATATATTTTGATCTCTGTGTTATGTGTATGTTGTAACTAACATATATATATATATATATATATATATATATGCCTAACATTTCCCCCCCCCTTACAAAAATGTAGATAAAAGCAGATTGAAAAAGTAATCTGCTGTCAGTTACTTAAGGGTACACCGATGTTATTGTTTACATCGATTATATATTGTTTGCAAAGCCCATTTTAAAATAAATCAAATGAATTTTTACAACTGTGTATATTTACGATGTATACCAAAAACTTATGAGACAAGCTACGGCAGACCGTTGGAAAATCGACAATAATTTTCAAGATACGCTATATATCGAAATTATCTCTTGGCATCTGTGTTATTTAGCCACATAGCTATCCCTTCGCACAATCAGTTTCTTACAACGCGGATTTTTTACAAGATCGATATTTGAAATGCCACCTTTTTCTCCTTCTGAGAGAGAAAGTCAGCAATGACCTTGACCTTTATGATATAGGTCGCTGGCGCACAATGCATTTTATGGCATGGCTACCCGTACGTGACTGCCGCACAAGATGTCACTTCTGAGAGGAAAAAAGTTGGTAAGTTCACATTTTCATCATATCTTTATAATTAGAGAATGTTGTGAGGAGATTTACTGCGTGTTAATGATCGACTTCTGTGAAAAAATCATAGTATAAGATATTAAATTATAATATTCCTTGATGCACATGTAACTAAGTTTTATTGCCATTTCACGCGTTTTTTTTTTTTTTTTTTAATTTGGTCATGATGGTTATATAAGCAAATGCAATTTATGCAAATTTACAGATCTTTAGCTTATTTTGTGGCTAAGTTAAACAGAAAAAGTAAAAACAGTAAAAAGACCTACTGGATACAGTGTACAGAATGAAGCAAAATATGATGTATTTAAAGCCAATAAGCATATATTACTGTCCATTGGAACTTCTACTTCAGCATCCTCTGTATTAGGTTCTCAAAATACTAGTATACTCCCACCTGCTAATTTATAATGTGTATTAGATTTCTGATCTTCATCCAGCACTGATCTAGTCTCTAACACAGTTTGTTTCAGGATAATAGTTATAACTTTAATTTATTCCTTCTTTAATATTTCTCTTTTAAGCCAATAGCCTATGCATAAATAATCTTTTATATATCCTGTTTCAACTGACTCAGAAATTTTGGTACTTTTGCAGTATACCCCACCTCCACCCGCAACTCTCTAATTTCCGATGATTTTCAAAATTAAGTTATGTGGTAACTTTTATCAATGTCTCAGCTATTCCAAAAAAAAAAAAAATTAGTTTGTAAATTTGCTAACTTATTTTTTATACTTTTTTTACTAACCCTGAAAATTAATTGACCAATGAGATCGCGGCAAATTTTCAGCCCAGTGATAATGCTGGTCCTCATTTTATGTGAACTGCATGAAGTATGCAGGGATGTATAGGATAAAGCATGCTGTCTCAGTCTGTTTCTCCTTGAACATTTTGCTTATATATGATAGATAGAAATGAAGCATATATATATATATATATATATATATATATATATATATATAAGCCTGTAATGACTCTTTTTTTTCATTCTTGCTTAACACTATTAAGACAAGCATAATTTGACGTTCTAATATAAATTAAAGGCTAGTGAAAACCCCATCTGTGAGGCACAAAAATGGATAAAAGCTGGCCAAGATCCAGATGGAATTGAAGTAAAATTTATCAATAAAGAAATAAGTAATTTTTACTGTAAGCCATAAATTGGTTCTTCAGTTTTGTTTGTTTGTTAAAAAAGTGGATTACATTAATTAAATATTTTTATTTTGTGTTTGTACAGTATTGGGAAGGAAAATCAGTCATATTTTAAATAAAAATGGAGAAATAAACTCAAATGTATTCAGGTGAAGATGAAAACTGTTATTGCAACAAAGAAATTTGAAGAAGGAGAATTCCTGCTAGAGTACAGTTTTGTGCAGAGAAGGTGACATTGCGGATACGGATAAAGCAAAACCGATTAAGTTGTCTTACGTAAGCCCCTTAAGAGGACAAAAGAATTGTGTGAAAATTCGTAAGCTAAGGACAATGCCGACTTACGTATATTTTACGGACATCTTACGTACATCTTACACACATGCAGCGATGAGTAAGAAGGGGTGGGCTTATGTAAATAAGGTGACGGCGGGGTGTTTCTCGCCTTGCGGCAACACAACCATGTGTGAAAAGAGGCGTGATATATGATCCCGCTTAATTGTGGGCTATTAAATCGTCCTCTGTTACGCTGCGACGCGACCCAAACATGACTTTGCCCTGGTTAGAATGGGACGTTTAAGAGTAATTTACATTGATTTATTGATTTCTTGTAAAAAATCAATCCCAACAGAGACTACTAGGATGCCCAGTCAATCCTTACCTTCGCCAGCAGTTATGCACGCGATTCTTCTTTTAAAAGGTGTAAGGCATTTTTTTCAAACAACTTGTTTCTCAAGCTCCGCCGACTTTAAAATGGCCAAAAAAAAAAATAAAATAAATAAAATTGAAACCAAAAATAATTTTGTTTTTTTTTCACCCACGTCCGACTGATCATACTGTTCAATTGGAATAACATAAATGCAAAAATTCTTTTTCACGGTACTCTCACGTCACATGACTGCCTACAAGTTGTAAACGAAGGCCATTTGTGCCAAGGTAAAGGCTTGGTTCATTTCCTCGAGTTTCCGGTTTTTAAGCCAATCAGTACTTCGTTGATATTTTACACTACACGTTCGACTACATGTGTCAAATTAATGCAAAATGGCGGGAAAGTGAGCTGGAGTAGCCGTCTTGATTTAAGCAGGAATTTGACCACTGTTGTGTGGCTCAGTTTATAGTGAAGGAGGGACCAAATTTATTATGCAAAATGGTCTGCCTGGCCAGTGTTACAGATGTTTTAGGCAATTTTATTGACTACTTTCTGTCGGCAATGAACATATCAGTTGCAACACTTGCGTCACGTGTGGAGTGTTTAAACAGGGAACCAGCAGCGTAAAGAGCACAAAGCATGTTTTTTTTATTATTATTTTGTAATTAACAAGAATGATTGACATTTATTTAGAAAAATAAAACATAATAAATTGCTGTTTTTTTGTCCAGAAATTGCTTTACTGTGTTTTAGTTTTTACCATTGTCTAATGTAGTGTTGAAAGTGAGTTACNGTATAATGGAGACAATGACGTATTATTATTATTATATTGATCATTTTTAGAAATATGACATGACAGCTGGTAATACTGACTGTGCTAAAAGCTGTTTGGATTACGTGTATCTAGATGTGGAGAATGGAGCTTTTACAGGTGAGACGCAGTATATGTTAATATTTATGTGCCTATGGTCATATCTGAGTATTCTTTTGAATTTGCAGATTTTCAGCTTTAGTTTGAGAGATATACTATTTTTATTACATTCACCATAGACTAGTGATGATTAGATAAATTAACTGGTGGAAAAAATTCAAGCTTGACGTTCAGGTGATGCGGCATGCCTCCTTCCTTAATTGTTTCAGGTTAAACCTCTCGTACATATGGGAAGGAACACTGGAGACTATTCCTAGCTATATGACAATAGATCAGGTGACCAGTCCATCGAGGTCATTTACCTAGTGAAAGGTTTCAGGTTAAGACCACAGCGTCAGTCAGTTGCTAAACGTAAGTTCCAGTATCAGAGTTATTCATATTTTATCATTATGCATATGTTATGTTGACAAAACTTATAAAAAATATTTGCAGTCAGTTTGTCAATGATTTGGTGAAAATTAATTATGTTCAGCAGATTTTTCAGTTAGTATTGAACATGGAAGTAATTGAGCATGATTTTGATTGTTTGAATTTGAATTCAGTATAAACATTACTAGCAATAGTGATCATGCAGTGTTTCATTGGTATACTGTAGGGTGTGCTGCATATGATTTCTGTAGCGTGATTATTGCTATACCCTGATAAATTTGTGGATATCATATCAGTCCATAAGTCAGAGCATTTGGTGAATTTTCTAAATGTATGATTGTCACTCACATTTCATCTGCCTTTATCTTTTATCAGAATCACAAAGATACATAATGCCAACATCTGTCTGTGTCACAGATTCAAGTGTATTGAATGCTGTATTAATTTATGATAAAGCTGTTTTCCATGCAGGTAGACAGCTGCTATAGCAACACCAGGTGCTCATATTCAGGAAAGGTAGATATGGTAATTGTTCAATCTTTTCAGTGGGGGGAAATTGTGAATTTTACAGATGCTGTATTTTTAATTAATTCTTGAATTTCTTGAAGTGGTAGCAGCAAAAAAAAAAACAATCAGGCTGCTTTGTAGTTTTATTCTATGCAGTAAAATCACCACAAATGCTAATAGAAATATAATTTTTGTGATTATAAAATTGTGTCTGAAAGTTTGATCATTTTTTGCCAGTTGAAAAGATAGAGTAATTACCTTATATGTGATCAAGATAAGACACATACTGGAAAGCATTTGAAGAGATCGATTAACATTATTATAGTTAAATTTGTAATGGGACATTCCCAGAGGTTTCAATGAAATATAGAGGAAGACCAGGGCAAACCTGTTGATGATCGAGACCTCTGATAGGTGAAGGCAGTCTAACGTGGAGCAAATATTATTGGAGGACTGCCAATCTAGTAAAATGGGAGAAGAGCTGAAAACAGAAACAGCCTGGTATGATAATTAGTCTGTGAATTTGAATTTATGAACAAAAGGACAATTTTCTCAAAAAGTGATTACATTTCGTAAGTTTTAACATGGGTTTTATACAGGTTTGAATCTAGAAATCTATGAATATTCTGTATCACATGTGATTAGTTTCTCATTGTCTCCATATTTAGCTAAAATAGTAGTATTTTTCCATTCTTTATTTTCAATTAACATAAGTCTTCTCAACCATGGAATTTCAACGACTTTAGGAAGTGCCTCACACTTACCATTTTCATGCACCCAACTTTATAGTCTTTTAACAAATTAAATGCTTTTAATTTTGTCAGGCTTATCATGCCAGAGAAAAGAAAAACGGGTATTTTTCTAATTCTTAAATCTGTTTTTCCTGTGGGTTTGGAAATGATGTAGATATTTGGTTTGTTTTTATTTCTGTGACTGAACTTCCGTTTGTTTCAGCTACATGTATAATTTAGCACCTTTTCATTCAACACTCAAATAGTTTGTTTTTTTTTTAATGGCCATACCAGACATGATGGCCTTGTGGCTAACATGTCACACCTGGTAGTGAGAAGTCTAGAGTGGAACTTTTTTTCATAAATATTTCTAAACCTTTATTCACTGACCGTGCTCTATTATCTGATATTTTACATGCACATGACTGCTATCGACCAGTTAGTGAGCAACAAAATTTGTGACCATGCAGAGGCGGATTTAGGCCGTCTTCTGGCTCTTCTGGAAGACGGTCAGATCTTCAAGTTTACATTGACGGGTATCTATTTTTTCTGTCGGAAGACGGTCAAAAATGGAGGTTGGATCAACAAAGATAATTTGGAAAACTGTCAGAAAATATCTCTGGATCCGCCCCTGCCATGTATATGTTATAACTCCCCTTCCCCCACCCCCACCCCCCCCCCAAGTAGTCCATAAGGTCTGGTCAATAATATGTCTAGAAATGAACATGCTATTTCATTTTTGCAAGTGCAAAATATTTTGAGTGTTATGAACTCAAAATGCCACTGTGACAACAGTTTCTTTGGGTCTTTAAACTCCATATTCCTTGCCAATTATGTGAATGAATATCCAATGATGTAAAGAATTAGACTTAAGTTGAACTCTTTTTTTTTTTCCTGTCAATGTGGTGAGTTAGTCGGCCAGTGGGAACAGTCAAATTGACGCCTACTTTCTTGTTGCCTTGACTGTTACTGTCACAGGAAACTTACAAGAGCGTGAGTGAGTACATGCATACAGCTCAGAAATCAAGCCAGACCTGTTAAAAACACCAAAGTTAAATGAGCCTTAATTGTTACTGGCAGTATAGGTGTTCCTATTTGTTAGAAGGATTATTCCAAAAGGACAAACAGTTTTGCTTTTTATTGACGACTTTAGAAAATTTGGCACGTTTAGTATGGTTAAGGTGGCAATGTACCCAGATATGGCTAAAAATCGTCATTTTGGGTTTTTTATGTGTAATTATTGGTTAAATGTGTATCTAACGTTTAACAGAATAAGATTTTTACATTTTGAACAAGAAATATGTTTTTTCTGAGGATTTTGATGCTGTACACATCGGCACCGGTGGCCTGGTCTATGCCCCGCCTTCGTTGTCAAAGGCCGTTGGGATGGGTAAACTCGGTGGGCGGACCTTAGCAGCATCAGCACGACTAGAGAAACAATAGAAAAGGGATGCACCATACCCCCTCTGTCATAAACAGCGATCGGCAAAGCATGGCCTATTGTTCCGCTTAAGCTGATTTGATAGTCGCTCTTGATTGTGATCAGCGCTTTAAGCCCCCTATATATACACTGCAGTAACAGCCCAGCAGTACGGCCCCATTTTAGAGTTAAAAACAACTGGCCGATCATTGAGCATTCATTCTGATACATAATCAATGCTCGTACCTCCTTATTAAGATCACAGCGATGACAAATTTCATGGTCGCAGAAAGGACGCTGTCCAGTGTAAAGGGGGTGTAAGGAGAATCTTTTCCGACACATTGGATTTGCTTGAAATACAGTTTTGTGCAGAGAAGATGACATTACGAATATGCTTACTTCAAAAACGATTAAGTTGTCTTACGTACGCCCCTTAAGAGGACAAAAGAATTGTGTGAAAATTCGTAAGCTAAGGACAATGCCGACTTACGTATATTTTACGGACATCTTATGTACATCTTATACACATGCAGCGATGAGTAAGAAGGGGTGGGCTTATGTAAATAGGGTGACGGCGGGGTGTTTCTCGCCTTGTGGCAACACAACCATGTGTGAAAAGAGGCGTGATATATGATCCCGCTTAATTGTGGGCTATTAAATCGTCCTCTGTTACGCTGCGACGCGACCCAAACATGACTTTGCCCTGGTTAGAATGGGACGTTTAAGAGTAATTTACATTGATTTATTGATTTCTTGTAAAAAATCAATCCCAACAGAGACTACTAGGATGCCCAGTCAATCCTTACCTTAGCCAGCAGTTATGCACGCGATTCTTCTTTTAAAAGGTGTAAGGCATTTTTTTCAAACAACTTGTTTCTCAAGCTCCGCCGACTTTAAAATGGCCAAAAAAGAATAAAATAAATAAATTTGAAACCAAAAATAATTTTGTTTTTTTTTCACCGATGTCCGACTGATCATACTGTTCAATTGGAATAACATAAACGCAAAAATTCTTTTTCACGGTACTCTCACGTCACATGACTGCCTACAAGTTGTAAACGAAGGCCATTTGTGCCAAGGTAAACGCTTGGTTCATTTCCTCGAGCTTCCGGTTTTAAGCCAATCAGTACTTCGTTGATATTTTACACTACATGTGTTACAGCCTACTTTCTGTCGGAAATGAACATATCAGTTGCAACACTTGCGTCACGTGTGGAGTGTTTAAACAGGGAACCAGCAGCGTAAAGAGCACAAAGCATGTTTTTTTATTATTATTTTGTAATTTACAAGAATGATTGACATTTATTTAGAAAAATAAAACATTGAAAATAAATTGCTGTTTTTTGTCCAGAAATTGCTTTATTGTGTTTTAGTTTTTACCATTGTCAAATGTAGTGTTGAAAGTGAGTTACCTAAAAGTATTTTTCACTTTTTTTCACTATTTTTCACTTTTCACCCCATCCGACCTCTGTCAAAAATAAAAATTGTTTGAGAAAATAGTAATTAAGGCATGAATATCACTGTAACACTACCTTTGTTAAACGCACAATTACAGGCCAGTCATTATCGGTGGGGGTGAAGGGGGGTATACGCTAAATCTATTGTATTACAATATATAGAGCCTGTGTCTGCTTTGACAAGAATCAGTATGGTGTACAATACTAGATAGTAAAGAGGTGCTAATAGTAATCCGTAATTATGCCGTTTCTGTAGCACATCCCACCCTCCTTGATTTTAGTTTGCTTACTAGTCTATACCCTATTTAGCCCAGTCTAATTTTAAGAGTGTTGTGTTTTTTTTTTACCCGTTTAAGCAACGTCCAATCCTATGTAATGAACATCAAACTTACAGATCACATCAACAACATAACAGTGTAAATCTTTCTTTCTGTAATGTTTGAGTTAATTGGTGGTGGGCAGAGTCTTATTATTCAATGATGATAATAATAATTGTAGAAGTAGGGCTACATGTAGTCGCACAAAAGCACATTCCTTAATTCTGTGATCTATTCTAGGGTGTAGGTTTTCGTATATTTTTTAACTGTACCATCAACTTACCAACTTTGGACAACTGGCGAGCAGAAATCTCCGTGCTTTAGATTTCCTCTAGGGATGATAATTTCACTGTTGTCAGGTGATGGTCTCATATCGGCAGTTGCCGCAGGGAACGTGATTGAAATCAAACTTGGCACATCTTGAAAGTTTAAGTCGGACAAAAGAATTTCAGGTGACCCTTTTAATCAGAGCTGCCACGTAAGCTAACAGTTTAATTACTGCAACGTACAGGTAAATTGAGAGTTGCGATAAGATCACCTTCTTCCTATCTCTAGATCTCCATCAACATATTTCTTGAGACTGCCTTTATTTTCGTTCACTGTTCAACAAGGATAATTATCAAACGAAGAACATTGTATGGAGAAGGGGTTTTTATTCATTATTTTATTCATGAAACAATAAGCAAACTGCTCGTTTCAGCAGAAGGATGGGAATATAAAACCATTTATTTAAAATACAGTTCTTAGAAAACTGCTTGCTTAAAGCATTCCATCAAGATACATGTGAACTAAATCTGGATTGAATAAGTTGTATGAATAATGTCATAAAAGAATATTTGCTATATGAATATATGCCAGACATTTCATTCATTGCGATAGATAGAATATTCTGATATAAAATCGGAAAAAAACAGAAGGTACTGGTGACAGCCCGTATTGGTAATGTATAATTTGGCAGAGCAAGCTTACATGCACCAAACCAAGCAAATTTCAAAAAACAATTTTTGTAACATATTTATTGGTAATGGTAGCCGGTCAGATTCCTTGAAAACATTAGATAACCATGCTGGCAGAGACTAATAGAAAAGTGCAATAAAAACAGATTTGCTAGGTCAGCAAGTAGATGTAGTTATCGATGAAGGTTACTTCTGACAAATGAATTGCGGTAAAAAATGATAAAAATTTTCACCACAATCAAAATAAGCCGTAAAGCCAAAACGTCACATAAGATGACAAAATTACAAGTAAGACGTGGCACTTCTTTGACTTTGACATTTTAAGTCGAACAAAAGATTTTGGTGACACGTTTAATCAGAGTTTATTTGCCACGTAAGTTAGATTAATAACTCCAAAGTACAGGTAGACTGAGATTTTCGATAAGATCATCCTCTCATTTCTCCATCTCTGTAATTCTTTGGAGCGTCCGATAAGATCTAAAGGGACTCGGGCACGTGGATTACACGCAATTACCATGATCGTTGATTATCTTCCTTAAATGCTTGCTTAAGCTCCGATCATACTTTTTGTCGACTCCATGTTCTTAGAAAATCCTTTTAAAAACCCTTTCTACAAGCATTTAATTTGATGTACGAGTCAATGAATATTATCGTCGTCGTCTTAATCTCCAGTTGAATACTCCAAGCCGCTTCATAATTAAAAGTGAAAAAAAAAGAAACACCTTGTTCTTCGTGATCGAAAATGATGTTAAAAGGTTAGGGCAAAGGCAGGTTAAACTGCAATCAATTATATGTTCAAAATTTATAATTGTGTGAGCATTTCAATGAAATAATTTGAGATGAAATTGATGACTCAAGGAAAAACGTAAAATACGCTGTCTTAAGCCTAGGTCCCAACCGAACGTAAGGGCTGCTACGTGTGCTCTACGGCCAAAAAAAATGGGGAAAACGTGGGAGTTCGTGCGGGAGGAGTATGTCCATCGTGCGACTTTTGGAGGACGCAAACAGCGCGTAGAAACTTTTTGACATGATCAACAGCTGCTACGTGCGATCTCGCTACGTCCTAGCCGGACGCTAGTAACCTGAAAACCGTGCGTCCAAAACGTAGTTGGGACCTTTTTAACATTCAGGATCAACAACACATGGGAAATTTGAAATTTACAACACAATTAGCAGCAAAAAAATAAGTAACTATGTGCTATATACGCAGCAAAAACGTCTATTGAAACAATTTTAGGAGTAACATTTTATATTGTAACTGAGCCTTGAGAACCAAGACATCGTTAAGAAAGAAAATACTATCTAAAATACTACCTAAAGGACGAATACAATGAAAGCGTGCCCCATATAGATGAACAATGATTGTGTGCAGTCGGGCAGATAATCAGATAAGCGGCTGGGACTTGGGAGATGACAATTAACGCTATCACTCAGCAGCATCAGTCGAGGGAGAGGTGGCAATTAAGGCTGTCACTCATCACCTCAAACGAGGCCAACTCGACTTACTTCCCGTAACCCAGCCGACCCAGATAGCAATGAGCGGTCGGGCCGACGTCGGCATTGGTCGGCACGGTCGTGGTCGGCAGTCCTTGTCGGGCCGACGTCGGGCCACTACTAGTGACCCGACGTCGGGCCAACGACTGCTTTACGCCGTTGGCCCGACGTCGGTATAACTGTGGCTCATCACCTGTGTGACGGGCCACTACTGGTGACCCGACGTCGGGCCGACGACTGCTTCACTCCGTCGGCCCGACGTCNAGTCGATACCCTATTTAGCGCAGTCTTGTGTTTTTTTTTTACCTGTTTAAGCAACGTCCAATCCTATGTAATGAACATCAAACTTACAGATCATGTCAACAACATAACAGTATAAATCTGAACGGAACCTTCTTTCTGTAATGTTTGAATTAATTGGTGGTGGGTGTAACATTTTATTTGTCTTAAGCGACCACCTCTTATTTTACAATGTTGTAAGCGACTTGAATAATACACGTGTGTTCCAGCATGGCGGCTTACAGAGTTAGCACGTTTATGTTACATGGTGTCAGAAGTTGAACTTTTCAAGCTATTAGTGAGTCCTTACACATGCCATATAACATTTTTAATTGTGCGAGACACTAATTAAAATGGCGTATGCATTCGAGCAACCCAGTTTTGATTGGGAGTCTAAAAATTTGTACTTGGAATTTACTCGATTCCGACAGCATGCTGAGCTCGTTTTCAAGGGTCCACTATCACAAACAGATGATAAGATAAGGGCAGGATGGTTGGGCATGTGGATTGGAAAACAAGGGAGAGAAATTTATAAAACATTCACTTGGGAAGAAGATGAAGAGGATAAACCAGAAGCAATATTCGGCAAGCTTGAAAATTATGTAAGACCCAGAAAAAACAAACGTGCACAAAGATTTAATCTCCAGAAAAGGAAGCAGGAGGAAGGTGAGACATTTGACAATTTTGTAAAAGACATCAGATTGATTCTTATGGATTGTGAGTACCAAGACGCTGAAGACATTTTAATTGACTGTATAATACGTGGGGTATACTATCCTCGAGTTCAAGAGAAACTGTTAGAAAAAGGGGGAAAGACTTACTCTAGCTCAAGCATTAGAAATAGGCAGACAGTATGAGTCATCCCAGCAACAAATGAAGATTTTAAGACCAGAAGTTGAAGTTTCCGCCATTAATCACAAGTCACATAAGAGTAAGGAAAGCCATGCTAGTAGAAATCCCTCACAAGCCTCTAAGAGACAGGAACACATACCTTGGAAGCAAAAGAACAAGAAATGTGGTCAGTGTGGTTTAGATATTGCAACAGCTCATAGAAACAATACTTGCCCAGCAAAAGGAACCAAATGCAGATATTGTAAAAGACTAGACCATTGGTATTCAGTATGCAGAAAACGAAAAGCCAAGGCAGTACACACTTTACAGGAAAGTGATAATGATGTTTACTATGATGATTCAGTGAGTGAAGATAGCAACAATGATCCACTGTACATTCATACAACTGAAGTTGATGATGAAAATGTTGACTCTGTGAGTGCAGCTGAAGATAAATGGATAGTGACACTAGATGTCCAAGACAAGCCACTTAAATTTCGTATAGATACTGGAGCAAAATGTAACATTCTAGTGAAAGCTGATTATGAAAAACTTAGTCTTCACAAGAACTTGAACCAAACAACTAAAGTTCTTCGCTCCTACTCTAATCACAAGATCCGCCCAATCGGAAAAGCACAGCTTTCAGTGGCATACAATACTACTCAGTTGCCAGTTGACTTTGAA